GCTCCCCCAGTGAGGGAGGTGCTCGACAGTGGTGCTGAGGTTGTTCCTCCCTCTCTCTATGCTCTCTCTCTCAGATCCTCTGGCTGTGGTGTGTGTGATGTGAGGACCTGATGGAGAACGGGGTGGGTAGAAAAACAGGGCGAGAGGGGGTGGAGTAATCTAGAGAAAGAGGAATAGACAGAGAGAGAGAGACTGAGAAAGAGTGCTAAGGGTCTCTGACAGTCACCACGAACACAGACACACACATATTGTCTCTATGTATGTCTGAGTGCACATATTGACACAGTCAGAGTGAGAATGTATTTGTCTGTTTTAGAAACATACACTGACATTAAATTAGATGTGTACAGAGATATACATTCCCCCAATTTGTTATATTTGGCTTTATGCAGACGATACTGTTTTTTGTGTTGCTGCTTCTACCCAATTAGTCACAGCTTTAAAGGTAAGTGAATCAATATATCAAATCAATAAGTGTAGCATAAAAGGGGTTACGCAAGATGATACTGCCACAACAAATTATCATCTGATCCTTCCCTTCAATTCTGCGTTTGTGCGTTTCGGCTTTACTGTTTTCGTTCACTCAGTGCTTTGATCAGCCTCATTTCCAACAACAGCAGGCAGCTGCTTTCTGCACAAAAGCTCTGATAAACCCACTACAGTACATGCTGCCTTTTCAGAAGGTCAGAGAAACCATAGCTGGTGAACATACAGCAGTGATGTGTCTAGCAAACAAGGATCCAGATGTTTCCCTCAGGAGTTGGCGGAAACCAAAACAGAGCTAAAAATAGAGGGACTACAAATAAATGATAGTGTTACAACATTGTAACATTAGCAGGCAGCTGTATACTAAAAGCTTTGTCACATTAAACCTGTAATTACTGATTTTGTCACTTGGAAGAAGTAGAAATGAGTTATTAAAAACATAATCTGTAACTGTTAAGCCTAAATCTTGTAAATCAAGGGGCTGCATAGACAGCTGGTATGTAATTGACTCACTGGCAGTAGCACCTCCAAATAACAAACACTGGTTTAGATTTAGACTGATACAGTTAATGCTCACCATGCAAGTTCTTCTTCCTATTAGTCCAACACAGTTCCATAATACGACATGCTAACAAACAGCAAAATATGTGGCATAGCACAGCGTGCACTGGATCATGCCTAAGTGGTCAAAAACTTTGGTCCTCCGTCTAGCAACACCTGACACCTGATTAATCTCTCCCACCTATACTGTGTATAACCCAGCGCACAGTAGTGACACCTACTGGTCCCATTGTAACAACATTGTGCACAACAATATGCATATTACATAAATGGCTCCTACATCATCAATACTTTCATCTTTAAGTCTAATTTTAATTTGTTATGGCCAACAACCGGTTAGCAAACAACTGCCTTTATACAGTACACTTCCAGCACATACAGAGTAACACCAGCAGCTCTGTAAGTCCATACTACAGTGCTTCCTGATAAAAAATATCCTGCTTTTTAGCAGCTGGTAAATGTAGTGACTACATTATGGTCACCAGCTTTTTCTGCCTGCCAGCTGGTGCTGAGCAGGTGAAGTGGGTTTGTGAAGAAAAACAGAAACACTGGTGGCCAGAAATGAAAACAATGAGCTGAAAACACTGTAGGCTTTGTAGAGATTAGGGGACCTGTACTGAAGCAGATGATAATTCTGTTGTTTGTCACTATAGGCGTTCACATTATACAGAGTGGTCATTTGATCCACTATTGTATAAATATCAATTGTGTGTTCTGCTAACCCAAAGTGACAAAAAAATATCAATGAATACATATTTAATGTAGTGCAACATGCCTTTATTAACTTTGAATTAGTGCTGAAAATAAAACAAATTTCTTGGGAGTCTACACTGTAGATGAAAATAATAATAACTCCCACAGTACACTATGGAAAGGGTAACATAATCTAAATATCTTGTTACGTGACCTGATAAGAAATTTGCATTTTAATATAATATAGAAAATCTTGTCAGTAAACAGTGACAGAAGCTTGAGATGTGTCCAGAAAGTGAACCTGCTGTCCCCTGACTTGTAAAAAGACGATTGCTCTGGCAGTTTTCCTTTCAGTTCTGGATTATGTGGATGTCAAATATCGACATGCTGCTGCCCTCACTCCGAGATTTCATTTGCCACTCTGCCCTCAGCTTCATCACTGGTGATCACCGGTGGTCACCACTGCTTTCTAGATGATAAAATCTGTCTTCCCTGTCTGAGGGATGTAATAACCACTGCTACTGATACGGCGTTGAAAAATTGCCATCTTATCTCATCTTTGCTGCTTGGAAACTCAGGCCCATAACCCGCTCCAGTAGTGTGGTGCTTCAGGAGCTCTGCACCAGAACTGATCTAGGAAAGACTGCCTGTGCTGTTCATGCAGTGTTTTCATTGAATAATATGCCACATAAAAATTGAAAAAAAAAAATCATACCTCCCTGTAACTTCAAAAATATATTTGAGTTCTACCTGTATGTGACTGTTTTCACTGAGTTGGTACCTTGTTTAATGCCAGCTCTCTGTTTTATTAATGATCATCTCATTTTGTTATTTTGTTTCAGTTATTCTGTAAAATTGTTACTAGGGTGGTGCTGTGCATGTATGCTCAGCCCACCTACCTTGTATGAATAAATGCAGAATAAATAAATAAATAAATAAATAGAACATCCTTCTCTGTTGTGGCAACTAGACAAAAACAAGCAGCTCAGTTTCATACTTGCTGCCACAAGGCTGTCGCAACTGTAATGGAGGACCCAAATACAAATTACAGAAAAAGCGGTAGCAGTGGTAAGTGAGCTGTGTTTTATTAATAATAATAATAATAATAATAAGAAGAAGAAGAAGAAGAAGAAGATGAATGAGTGGAGGATAGGTGTTTAGAGTAACACCTGGCAGTCAGTGAAAACCGAGAGCTGGTTTATATAGCTACAGAGTGGTTGATGCACTGATGGAAAGCAAGTGCGTGTCAGCAGGGCAGGGTGGAGCAGGTGGTAAGAGCCCTTGTCAAAGTCACTCAGATCTTTATGATTGCACATTTTTCCTACTTCCAACACATAAACTTTGAGGACTGAGTGTTCACTTGCTGCCTAATATACCCAAAACACTGACAGGTGCTATTGTAACCAGATAATCAATGATATTCACTTCATCTGCCAGTGGTCATAATGTTATGGCTGATCAGTGTGTACAGCACACAATATATAAGCTTGCCATACATTATATATACAGTTTCTTAAACTATTGACTTGGGAGCATGGCACAAGATGTTAGGATGCACAAGACATACAGTAACATGATTTTCTTTAATGTTTACCTTTTTATTAGGGCTGCGACCAATAGTTAAATTATTAATTTAATTAATAATGTACCAATACTTATATAACTCATTAATGTTTACCTTTTTATTAGGGCTGCGACCAATAGTTAAATTATTAATTTAATTAATAATGTACCAATACTTATATAACTCATTAATGATTTTGTCTGTTAAATGTCAGAACGCAGTGAAAATGCTTATATTTAATTTCTCACAGCCAAAAATGATATTCTGATCAACCTAAAAATATTAGGTTATTAACATATGTGACCAAAAATGTATCAAGAAGCTGGAACCATATGACAGAATCAGGGAATGATTTGCATTTTTACTTAAAAAATAACCAAAATAACTGCTGATTAATATTCTGTTGACTGATTGAATATTTGTTTTGCTTCTTCTGTCTTAATAATTTTTTATATAACCAGATTGTATATTCTTGTAACCTGGGGCAAGACAGGAAATACATCAGAATGTCATCACTGCCAGCGCACGCCCTGCAACAATATGCCTTTGTTTTTTAATCATTTGAGTTTTAATCCCCACTGTCATACAGCAAATCCCATACCATACTCAGTGGTTGCAAACAATTTATTCTTAACAAGAAATTTTGAGTCAGAATCAGATTACTTCTCACCAAACACCAGAAATAAAGTCTTTAAAATGTTGAAACTATTTGTACAGTCCTGAAAATTTGGACTCGAGTCCAGATTCGTTATTTGACTTGGACTAGAGCACTAATGACCTGGACTTGGACTCGAGCATTGACTGCATTTAGACTCAGAAGTTGGAGACTCAGACTTGGACTCTTTTTGTGTAATAGGCCACAATAATTTGTGTTTAAAAATAGACCTTGGTGATTCTGACTCTGTAACAGGGACTCAACTCAACTCAGTTTATCCTTTGGTGACTCAAACTTGACTCAGATTCAAACATTGTGGATTTGTGACTCGACTACAACACTGGCTATGGCTCTGCTACAATCTATTACGTTTTAATAAAATGAAAATATCTCAGACTATATCACCTGTTTCCAACAGATGCTTTGCTGTTTTGCTTAACACATTTCAAGAAAATCTGTATTGAATACTAGAAAAACACTTTGATCCACTGAAGAAAATTAGACTTTTACATGTCAATGATGGAAAAACTACTCATTAAGAAGGAGATTTTTGCAGTGAGCAAGTGTGAAGGGAACACCTTGGCTTATACTAATGCCAAAAAGTATCTAAGGAGGTCAAACTCTTATCTCTATCCAGCCTAGCAGGGTGGTATTGAAAACGTCACATTTGACTTGCCTTATCTATGCTTATGGAAAAAAAACAGATGGAGCTGTTTGATAAAATGCTGTCTAGACAAAAGCTGGAGAGGGACGGCGGAGGAGGATGCTGATGACAGGTCTATTATGCCACAGATGTGACTGGAGAAGCCAACAAATGAAAAATGGAGCTGTGACAGCATTATGCAAAATAGCAGATTTCTAGACCACACCAAAGGTGTTACTCTGTCACTCGTCAAGACAAGATGAAATAACTCAGACATCTCGCATCTGTCACTCAAGCTATTCCAGTGCTCAGTATGTGACATGAAATCTGGAAAAAACATTCAATCGATCATTTTGTGACAGATTAATATGTGCTGCAATGCACAACTGGTTCATATATGAAGTGATACTAGAAGTGAACACAGGGGAATAATGTATGTGGACAAATGGACATAAAATATAAACACTGATTTGACACTTCTGTGACAGACACTATCATGAGTCTAAAACACTATGAATTATAATTTTACTGTGTAAAATAGACAACAGCGTACCTACCTGATTGAAAATGCATAAGACAGCTGGCCAGTAACCTCAAATGAATTGCTGTCAAGCTGAAAGTCTGCAAGGCTTTACCTGAAATGTTGCTGCCCTCTACTGCCTGCTACACTGAACATAACATGAGGCAATTTTTCTTTGCCAAATACTTTGAGTATCAATGGCATATAAGGTGAAATGGCCTGATCACTGCTACTGAAAAGGGTTGATGAATATATTAAGATCTGCAACTTGTAATTTTCACTTTCCAGCCAAAAAGTGGTAACTCATAAAATAAAATAAAAAACTATGACTATTTAACTAGTGACTATGTGTATTTAAGTAATGAAATATATACTCATGGAATTTAAAAAACGCACCACTCACATTTGTCAAATCAAAGAAAGGTAAGCAATCAGTACAGATTAGATTTCCAGCCTGCCAGCACCTGAAAAACATCTGGCTTTGTTTGGTGTGTTAAATGTTTGGCTTGTATTAGCAACCACTAGTTTTCTAGCTAATATCTACTTTGCATTTCACACTGGGTATTTAACCTAGGATTATGTTAGCTAGCTTGGAGCAGCTCTATTTTACATGCAATGTCTGTCTTCATGCAACAGAGGGCACTATTTAACAGAGATGGAAAGTAACTAAGTACATTTACTCGAGTACTGTACTTAAGTACAATTTTGAGGTATCTGTACTTTGACTTCATTACATTTTGCAGGAAAATATTGCACTTTGTACCCACTACATTTATTTGATAACTTTTGTTACTAGTTACTTTTCAGACTAAGATTACTTAACTTTATTGATCCCTGGTGGTAAATTCACACCTCTAAAATCTTCATTACTTTTTAAAAACAAATGCCATAAAAATATGCACATTTTAATATGCAATATAATTTTATATATTATTTTAAACAAAGAACATTTATAAAATATGACAAATAAGATGAGATAATCTGAAATAACACATTATTGATCTTCAGGGGGGAAATTAGATGTTGCCACATAAGAAAAACAATGATACAAAAAGAAATGAAAAGAAAAATAAAATAGAAATCCACCATAAAACGACATTAAATTAAAGATATAGATACAGAGATAAATAAAAAGAGCAGGATTATGTAGTCTATAAATAAAATTAACTATGCAAGGAACTGAAATGAGAAACCTAATATAGGTTAACAAAATTAGAAACAATATCATAGGACACAGTAGCATAGGATATGATGTATAAAATAACATATTATGTTGTAAAATAAAATATTTGGTGTTAATAAGATTCAGTCATTTCATTCATCATATGAAAAAACTGTCTTTCATCATGTGTCTTTGTGAAATTATTAAATTGAATGAATTAATGCAAATATGCTCCCATAATTCAAAAGCTAACAATAATTTCATTGACCAACTGAATGACCTACAACCATGATGTAAAGCTTCAGCAGCATCCACCGGCTGCAGGTGTTGTTGATATCTTTGGCGGAAGTAGGCAACTATCAAAGTTCAGGGATGGAAATTATTTCGGACAAATAACCAAACAGCATCAGACTTTGATAGCCAATCATATTCCAGATTTGTGTTTGTGGGTGTTGCCCCCTTCAAAAGGAAGAGTGCGGTAGTGCGGTGCATCCTCCCTGACCGGCGAGAGTTTGGTTGAGAGGGTGCTGGATGGTGTGGGAGTACCACTGATGAGAGAGCGGGCGAGAAGAGGGACTACTTTAGCACGCATTGAAGGGCCATTGCATTATTCTACTGGATACTGTTAAACACCTGGACCCTGTTTCTACGTCTGTGCGTGGTAAGTTAAGCAGAAAAGCTGGAGCTAGTCATTTTTAGTGAGGATGCATTGGCTAGCTGTAGAAACCGTTAAGGTTAGCTAGCGGAATATTGTGCCATGACTTTTCAATGATGGAGGACCATCAGCTTTGCTAATACTAGCCAACGCCACGGAGCCAATGTGCTGTTTATATTAGTCTACTGTCGTCTTATAATAGTATTCATTTAGCAGGTATCTGTTTCAGAAGTTTAATCTGTAAGGGGTGTTGTGAAACGGGGTGGTCATTGTCTGCCTGCTTTTATCCCCACCCAGACGTCTTTGAGCCACCCACACCCATTATGGGATTTTGCCTGAAGAAGCTGTTCAGTTCATCCATAAAACTGTTTTCCCCTCCATAGACATTAAACTATCTTGAAATTTTTATTCACCTTCTAAGTAATAAAAGCGCAACTATAGCCCATCAGTTGCGTTTAGTTGGTAATTCAGTGCTGTCGAGTCCTTGCAAGCATCTTTTCGAGCGAGTGGGATATGAAGCACAGCACGCCAACTTTGAGCTAGCTTAACGTTAGCGAGCTAACCTAGCCGATGCAGCTGTTTGGCCTGACCGGATATTTCACAGCTATCTACAGTTTGTTGACCCTTCTCTGATGAAATATCCAACCGGAGGTGTGGCATGCTACTTCCATGGTTTATATCTGAATGAGGGATGAAGGTGACTGTTTTCCAGCTCGGGCTCAGAGTGAGGGGATTCAGTGGCACACCAGTCACACAGATCCCCCATCCCATGACCTGACCCACATTCGAGTCTAACGGCGCCTGATTTAAGCAAGGGACATGATAGTGGGTTAAATATCTCTGTGCTTTCGTCAGCTCAGGTTGTCACTGATTAAAAAGAAGCTAGCTGGAGTGGTGCTGTCTGTTTTGGTTCAGATCCAGACTGGTGCGTGTTGAGGGCATCACATGCCAAGTTTTACAAAGTTGTCCTGGGCTGTGTGCAGCTCAGATTGTGGAAATGTATGCTATATTGTGGTATAAGCATAAAACAACTCATAAATCATATTGCACTATATGTAGGTCTGGAACTCATTTAAAATTTTCATTATTGTGCTAAATACTGTATTTTCTCAATTAATTGACTAATGGTTTCATCTTTAACATCATGAAATGGCAAAAACCTCCCATCGCAGTTTCTTAAAGCCCAAGTTAACATTTTGAACTTACAGCTAAATATAACAATCATTTTCTTTTCTTGATTTGTAGATTATTTCCTTCACTAATTGTTTGGCCTGTAAAATAATAATAAAAATGATATTAGTGCTTATTTTATCCAACACATACTTTAAAAGACATTCAGTATACTATCAAATAAGGCAAATAAAAGCAGCAAATCCTCATAACTGCCTGGCTGAAACTAGGTCATGTTTGGCTTATTTGTTTGAAAAGTGATCAAAGAATTAATAGAGGTATCCAAAAAGGCGCAATCATCAGTCAAATGATTAATTGTTTCAACCTTAATTATATTATCTGAAAGCCAGTATGGAGTTTATTTATTATTTTGGATGCAATGCTTTGCTTTCAAAAATGTAGATTTCTGCCTTATTTACACAACACTGAGTTTCACTTTCACAGAGACTCAAATGCTAAGGTTACTGTACGTGTGGGTTGGTTGGTTATGTGCAGGCACGGAGGTGTCAAGGCTTGATGCTTATACACCACTCTGTCGAGAACCAAATCAGTCCTTCTGGGAAAAAAGTGCTATTTCCTAAAACAAAAGAAATGTAGCAAATAAATTCAGCTGAAAGACAGAATACACATAATTTACATTGCCTTTTTACTTGGTTTAAACTTCTCTCATTTGTTGAAGAATGGGTGTATAGCATATAGGCTATACTCATCCTGTCACTGTTCACCAAAGAGAACGATTCAGAAGGTTCTATTGTAGATATTGACTGATGCACTGCTTGGCAGGCAGCAACCACCATGGATGACTGTGACAAGCTGAGACACTTCAGTCACATACTAAACTTTAATATCCTATCAAAGGAAACAGCATTAGCTACTGACACAATAACACCCTATATAGGGTTTTGCATTTTTAAGAATTCCAGTCTCTTAAAATACAATCTGAATGCTCTCTCCAGCATTTAACAGGTGATGAGAAGCAGTATTTAACTGTATGGACCTCAGCTTGGTAGAATCAATTCTTTCCTTGTAATGGTTCATAGTCATGATGCTACCACTACACAGTTAGTCATAGTCTAGGGAATTTGGCATCAGTATATGACTGAACCTGTTATACAGTGGTAGCTCTATCTTTAACATCTCTGGTAACAATTCTGGATGTATTTTACTGAAAAGGGATTGCCATAAGAATCAGCATAGTGATATACAATTACTTATGCCATGATATAAGATTTTAAACCTTACTGGCCATCCCTACTTGGTATTTTATAATGGACAGTAGGTTTAACAATTTACTGTTGGCATATAATTAATTTTATTGAGGCATCTATATTTTTTGTTTTGTTATCTAAAACCTAATCTCTTACCACAGAGTGAAGTTGTTGCTGTAATATCAGAGACACGCCGAACCAACGTGAAAGAACTAGCAGCGACATAGGCCAACTTTTGCATCACCTCATGTGGCCTTTGTCTGGGCCAGTCGGGGCAAAAAAGTGGCACTTGAACACACTGCACAGACTACAGCCAATGGCCAACTAGCACATACATTCTGCGCCTGCATGAGAGAAATAACGCCCCCTAACATCAGGTGGTATCTGTATTTGCCATTCAGAAAGGGAAAGAAGAAGATCTAGACTGCAGATGTATAAGCTATAAACAAAGCACCTCTCATTCAACATAGCTGCTGTTCATAGCTGCTTCTAGTCTGATAAGAGCTTCTAATCAAGAAACTAGAAAAAGGAGCGTAATGTGTTGCGTTTTAGTACGCCACTTAATATGTTCGATTTGAAAAAAATGTTCCACACGGAAAACAAGCCTACTGTTAATTATTAAAGGTTACATTTGGTACACAGCTGAACCTGAAAGTGCTGTAAACTGTTCAGTACAAATAAATGTACTTTTACACTCCTGGTATATTCTACTATGACAAGTCAGAGTGTCTGCTGTGACAAAGGCCTTTCAAGAGGATCTTTTACACAGCAGTCTTTAGTCGTGGTGACCTCATCTGTGCTTTATAGAGTGAACAGCATGATATTAGTCAGCTGTATGAATTTTAAATGTAGCATTTTATTTTCATTGGTCAGATGAACATTATACTTTCTTTCCTCACTTCAGGTTGTCTAGTGGCTTCTACTTCTAGTTTCCAGCAGCAATGTCACAGAGGAGTGGGCAGGAGGACCCAGAGCGGTACCTCTTTGTGGACCGTGCTGTGGTCTATAACCCAGCCGCTCAGGCTGATTGGACTGCCAAAAGGCTAGTATGGATTCCATCTGAACGCCATGGTTTTGAGGCTGCCAGTGTTTGTGAAGAGCGTGGAGATGAGGTGGTGGTGGAGCTGGCAGAGAATGGGAAGAAGGCGTTGGTCAACAAGGATGACATCCAGAAGATGAACCCACCAAAGTTCAGCAAAGTGGAGGACATGGCTGAACTCACCTGCCTGAACGAAGCATCTGTGCTTCACAACCTCAAAGACCGCTACTACTCTGGCCTCATCTATGTAAGTGTTTCACCAGAAGTGTAAAACTTGTCACCATCTTGTCTTCATCTTCTATTCTAGAAACAAACTTTAGTGATACATTGCTTTGTCAGCATAGGAGCTGCTGAAAATAGTGCTCCTGCACTGTCAGCATCACACAGAGAGATCAAGTACTATTATTGCAGTGACTAAAATTTTACAGTAACACCGCCCTAGTAATAGTTGAGAGCTCTACAGTGACAAATTTGCCCCTAAAAAAAACAAGAAAAAAACAAAACATAATTTTTGAAAGTGATGTACAATTTCTTTTTGTATAAAGCTGCATCTGTCTTACTGACTTTACTGTGGAGTGCTAACAAAGATCAGCTTCCCACTCCCTGAAGCAGGGAGTCAGATACTGTGCAGTATCCAGCCTGTTTGACCCAGTGACATACAGTATGTGAGTCTGTATGGTTCTCAACAAGAAAACTGTTCAGTAATGGCTGAATCTGCCACAGAAAGATAAGAGGATTTGTTTAAGAGGTCTTTGTCCATGTGCAATATATCTAACTTGCTTATAGAACAGTGTTTATTGGTTATTTTGAATTCTCCATGTTATCTGTAGCATTTCACACCTCAGTTCAAGAGACTAAGAAACAAATTTCATTCAGTAGCTGGTGATTTTCCCCATGGCTATGACCCACTTTGACATGCATTCCTGGAATTGGCATTACATGGAGCTTGTCAGCCACCTGAGACCCAGGCAAGACGAAGAGGCTGAGTCACCTTAACCACTAAGATGGAGGCTTGGAAGCTTCATGAATGAAGTCATGACATTTGAGGGGTTAATAAAGAGAAGTTTCTTGTATGGATCATTGTTTCCCTCACTTGCATCTTTTCCTTGAGTTTTAGTGCTGCCCACATAAGGTGTGAGGGGAAAAATTCTAAGTTAAAAAGCTATTGATGACTCCATAAGTTAATGTCTTGTTAATCAAGGGCATCAGCACTGTGGTGGGGGGGGACAACCTTGAAACTAGTCGGGGCGTAGCAGTGTGATCACTGCCAGGCTCCCTGCCAAGAGGCTGATTTGTCTGTTTGTATCTCCTGAAAGCAGAAGTGGTTTGTCACCGTATTACAACAGTGACCGCTTTGCCATGGCCACGACCTTACAAGAATTTTCAAAGGAAATTTTATAATAAAATCACAGGTAATCTCTTTCTAGATCTGTTGACAAAAGTTAATAATTGGTTGCAGATTCTCACTTTGTGCTGTAGTAAAACTGAAGGTGCACTGTGCCCTTTACAGTCTTTTTCCTACACAAGCTACAGCACCATTGTTATTAAGATCACTTTTTATTAATTCAATTCAAAATACAGCCCAAATGAAAAGATCATCATCATCTTTGTATTTTCAGAGGGTTTATGATAACTGACCCCAGCCCCATCTCTCAGCACTGAAAGGACAGTGCTGAGTCATACTATAACCAAACCGCCTTAACTCAGCTCTTTATGTTTGCTGATAAGCAACAGCTGACTGCTCCAGTAACTGAACTTTGTGACAGTAAAACTGAAAATATATCTTTACTTACCCGCTAATCCATGTCAGCTTTTGTGTTTTCTTTGCTGCTCTGCAAGGTCATTGACATGCTTTTCTCCTGAACCAGTTTGTACAATGTTTTTGATTGCTCCTCAAAGATAGATCCCCAGATGTGAAGCTAATGAACAGTGAGCTTTAAGATTTAAGTTGCATGCATGTAGGACTTTGTTGGTCAGCTGCTTGAACCAGGCTCTGTTATGGTAATGTGTTCTCAACTTGTTTACATTAGAACATACAACGTTATGGACTGGAATAATGGACCATGTTAATGTGGTCAAAATCATCAGTGAAATTCATGTCAGTTGATTTTCTGACAGTCCGATACATATAATGGAAAAAAGAATGAATTGTGGCACTGAACAGCCGACTGAAAGTCAACTAACAAAATTCTTAGTTGGGTACAGCCCTGATTTCAGTTGATTTGACAGCTTTAATTGCTGGTCTGATGCTGTCGCTACTGTGCAGGATCAGGTTGTAAAAAAGCAAGATGGCAGCCACCGTACCCACAATATTTTGGCTTCATTTTTGCATGGTGGAGGGAGTGGTGATACCATTTCCCTCTTATATATGTCAAGGGGTTCAACCCAGTGGTTTAGGAGAAAGGACTGAAGGATAGATGGTAATGATGTCAATGTGATGTATTACTGAATGTAGGCTACTATATGCTTATCCTTTTCTTTTGGTGCAGTGTGTAGATCCTGAGGAGAAAAAGTGGCAGCTCCAGGCTTAGAGCTTTGTGTGAATTAGCAGGCTGTTTCTCTGGTTGTTAAGCCTGCCTCTCACAAGAGCATGGGCTTTGTTCACAGCTTAAACTTGGACACTTTGTTCTCTTGAATGTCTTATATCAAGAAATGAAACATCAGGCCTGTAAGAACATTTTTTTTGTCCACATACTGGTAATGTTATGAGTCAGCTGAGCAGTAGTTCTTTATCTTCAAGTAGTTGCTTCACTGGACCCCATTCATAGACTAAGATACTACACTGTCTCATTGTTAGAAATCATTATAGAATGACAATTAGAGCTCAATTTCATCCAGCTTTGCCTTGATTTTGAGTCTTTTGCCAGATGTCTGGGTAATCTCTATCTTGTGTAGGAGTAGACATTTTGATAAAAACCCTAACTAAGTTTCTGTGCAGCATCACACTAGTAGAGGTATACTGCTTGATAGAGGAATTCTGTGTTACACTTACTCATGTAGCATCCACTCCTCTCAGCTGTCAGAGCCTTTTGAATTTAGGTTAGTTCCCAGTTAGCCCAGGTATGTCAGAATGGAGGCCATAGATTCATGTAATAGCAGAAACCCCAGGAATCTTTTTCTTCTTCCCACTGAGAGAGGCCCTGTTGCTAAGCACTGCTTGTTTCACAGGCATTTATTTTGGACACTTCCGGAGAGCTCCCTTTCAGCTGTGTCAGAGTAGTGAGCTTGTGGCTGTGCTGACCAGCTCAGACCTATTTGTCAGTCAGCATGCTGGCTCCTGTCTTGCTATGCTTGGCTGTTGAGGTGCCTAACCCCTTGCCCTCAGAGCCCTAGTAATCCCCCAGATACCCCCTGGGTTTCACCATCAAGGCCAGCCAGCTGAATCATCTCTCCCCACTTCCTGAGGCCCATGCTGGGTCAGGAGTGCTGATCTGTCTGGCGGCTGCTGTGCCCACTGTAGGAGGCCTTGGAGGAAGTTGTGGTGACAGCCCTGCAGCACAAGTTGATGTTTACATTCATTGCTAGTTAGCAAGTATTGGTCTTAGTAAGTCTCATTCAGTACTTATTCACTGTCTATTTAGTGCCCAATATAATCATGCCATACAATACTAGCTATAAAATATCATCTGTGACATAATGGTGACATTAGGGGAATGAGGTGTTGAATTGACCATCAACCATGTCTTCTTTTCTTTTTATAGACATACTCTGGTCTCTTCTGTGTGGTTATAAATCCATACAAAAACCTACCCATCTACTCAGAGAACATCATTGAAATGTATAGGGGCAAAAAGAGGCATGAAATGCCCCCTCACATCTACGCCATCTCAGAGACTGCATACAGATGCATGTTACAAGGTAAGTCTCAGTGCTGCTGTTGTGTATGGTATGTTATTATGTACCGCAGGCTACCTCACATGCTGGAATTAATCTTAACCAGGCAATAAAATATTGATTTTTTGTTGTTGTTTTGTTTTTGGTTATGCCTTGTGTTCAGAAAGTGTGATCATTCAACTCTGTCTGATGCGTCTCCCTTAAAAAAAAAAAATCACAGCATCTTCTTGTTGAGCTAGACCTGATATGATTATCACTCTTGTTGATCTTGAAGTGTTTTATGTGGAAATGCAACAGCCAAATGATGTCAAAGCCAAGTAACTATTCAATTTAATTCAGTTTTATTTGTATAGCACCAAATTCAAAACAAAAATCATCTCAGGGCACTTTACATACTAAGGTGTAGACATTATTATTAGGACTACATACTAATAAGAGCAGATTGTTTTAATCTTGTTGGCATTTTTTACTGTAGCAGCTCAGACCCCATTTAGACTTGGTTTAAAAATGCATCCTGGGCGATCGTTTCACAAGTGGATAGTGCTAAATAAAAGTGTAAACAACCACCAAGACAGATTGTCATCCAATCATTGAAGCTACTTGCCAAGGTGGTCCGGGATGTTTTTGACCACATATCTTTTGTAATTTAAATGCTAACGTGTCCTGATGTGTCTTCGATAAGGATGTTTGAGGAAGATACGTCATCAATGCAGGACATGGTGGTTGCTTGGGTAAGAGCACTCCAATGCTCAATAAAAGAAAAAAATGCAAAGAAATGTCTGACACCGATCCATCTGTGTATTGTGAAAGCTTTCATAATGCATCCATCTACAAGTCTGATGCTTATATTCTCCTTCTTCTTTAGCTTGTCTAGTAACAGACTGGAATAATAATTGTGCCTCTGGCCTTTCAATATTTAAGTGGAATTGTCACAGCAGTAGTGAAATCTCGACACCTTGGCGACAAATGTATAGGTATGTAAATGATGATGTGTCTCGGCTGTCCACTTGTGTTCGGATCACTGAGATGTATTTTTATACGTCTAATCAAGACCTTACTGACCTGTAATGGACCTCAGGGGTTCAGCTTTTAGTTCCACTGCATTCAGCTTGCTTTGGAGATTTCAGCATCCCTCAGGAGGTAGTAGTAAATGAAGTAGGAACTCGGAGGTCAGTCGGGTGCTTACAGGTCTCATTATTGGTTAGACATCAGCATCATCATGTATTAAGTACTAATAATAATTGTGCCTCTGGCCTTTCAATATTTAAGTGGAATTGTCACATAATAATTGTGCCTTTCAATATTTAAGTGGAATTGTCACAGCAGTAGTGAAATCTCGACACCTTGGCGACAAATGTATAGGTATGTAAATGATGATGTGTCTCGGCTGTCCACTTGTGTTCGGATCACTGAGATGTATTTTTATACGTCTAATCAAGACCTTACTGACCTGTAATGGACCTCAGGGGTTCAGCTTTTAGTTCCACTGCATTCAGCTTGCTTTGGAGATTTCAGCATCCCTCAGGAGGTAGTAGTAAATGAAGTAGGAACTCTGAGGTCAGTCGGGTGCTTACAGGTCTGTCATTATTGGTTAAACATCAGCATCATCATGTATTAAGTACTAATGTTACAAGCATGGCATGTGAACATACACTCACTAGTTTAGAGGTAGAGTAAGGGCTTTGTGTTGTGCTTGTTAAACAGCTGTTTGATAAACCGCTCATACAGTCTCCATTAGTAGCTGATTTTGCAAGTATTATCGGAGAGCATTGTGGTTGTTGACTTGATGCTCTCCATTCCATGTGGGAAGCATAACCTGCCCTTGTGTACAGAGTGGTCAACAGAGAAAAATGCAGTGGAAAAGCAAAGCAGAATGGACCAAATCAGCCCTTCAAGTTCCACCAGATTACGGGCATGGGAAGCCCCAAGTTATGGCTCATGCATTTAACTTCCCATGTATTTAATCACTGTGCTGAACTGTGTGAGCTGTACAGACACTTAATGTGGTTTTATGTCAAATACATTTCTGCCAGTTTGTTCTTGGCTACTCTATGTACAGTCTTTTAATCTGTACACCTGTGTTTTGAGGCTCATCTTCTCAGATGTGATTAGCCAGTGGTACCTGGAGAGCAAAGTCTTAATAGCATTTTGATGGCACATTTCATCACAACATTAAAACAATCACAAACTAAAAAAATGGTGGTGAAGTATCTAAAATAATAGCCTGCTGATTTTTATTTATTTATTTTTATTCAGTTCATGTTTTCTAATGACAAAAGCTCTTCTACAGTTACATATATTTGGGTGGCATCTTTTGCAGTAGAAGTGATCCTTAAATAGAACAGCACCACTCATTGTTCTGGCATCCAGTCTGCCCCAGTTGTCACATTTATTTGATTTTAATTCTTTTAGGAACATGAAATCTTGTAAGTGAAAGGCGGTCCTTTCTGAGTACTAACTTCAAAAATCCTTGCCTGATATTTGGCAGGCTTCCAGGCTCTGCAAGCAATGACTGACTGGGGTGAGATCAGAGAGGGTGACCCCATTGTGCTCTACAGTAGTTCCTTTGTCTGGCTGTGAGGGCCGACCAGTGGGGGTGGTGACAAACTGGACAGTCCTGTCAGTCCTTTTAGGCTTTGCTTTCCTCATATTGGTACACAGAAGGAAGTTTCAGTAGCGTCAACAAGTAGCTTGATGATCCCTTGACCTTCTTTTAACAAAAATAAGAGCTAGTAATTGATAGTTGCATGTGATGTTTTTAGCACCTTCCTTATCCAAAATGTTCAGACTTTTATGCATAGCTTTGTTATTTTTGTATATTCTGTGCTATAGTCTAAAGATGCTTGTTGTCACTTCCTTTTTTCTTCACACACTGCATTTCTACCCTGTGGACAGGGGCACTTGGGGCATGGTCAGTACTGTAGACCGTGAGTTAGCGATGCTTACATTGTACATATGTTTTCTTGCTTTTTTTTTTTCCTCCTTTGAATGAAGCAATGACTGCTACTTTTCAGCATTTCAAAATGCTTAATATATTTTCTATATGTCTCTGAGCCCGCAGGTCTGGCCTGTCATTTTTATTGCACTGCTTCTCCAACCCATAACCAGTTATGGTGATGGTGATATTAGAGTTAACTGGGTTGTAGTTGAAAAGGAGGTTTATAGGTTGAAGATTAGTGAAGGCCAGCTGGTGTTCAGCTGTGGGCCTGAGCATTGTGGCAAAAAAAAAAACCCCCCCCCCCCGAGCTGACAATAAAATCACTGGAAAGATAAACACTGCTGCAAACATAACATTCCTTCTCTATTTGGAGTCAGTTATATCACTAGAATTTTCTCTCAGGACAGATGTAATTTTATGTTTCATAAACCTTCTTGAAAACCAATGAACAATTTATCTGTTAAAATAAACTTAAGAGCAATGTTTGTTTAGGCTCAGATAGGACAACTACCAAGGTATAAACAGCCTGACTATTAATAAACATGCCATCTCACAATTTTGCTTAAGTCTTAACGCTGAGTGATTCATTTAAATTTAGTGGTTAACAGACCAGACCACATTTAATGTGTAGACTTTGCAGTGTCAGTTGCCATGTGAACAAGAAAGAACAGTTGAAACAAATAATTTGACTCTAATTTAGGACCTTTGCAGCTGAACCGATTGGTGAGTCATATTTACGGCTGAAGGGTGCCTACACCTTGCAGGGATGTGTTAATTATTGAAGCACTGCTGTGAAGCCAGGCTGTGCTCAAATGGGAGGTTAAATGAGGTGTTGCCTAACAAAAACAAGACCTCTAGAAGTTACTGCCCATCTGTCTTTGATTAGCACCTCAGATACTTTACATAAGTGCTGTCACCGCTCTGCTGATGTGAACTCGCTGTTGTACCAAAAAAATGTCATCATATCTGGAAATGTGTAGTAAGAAAATGCTGATGCTTGCTTGAATGGAAATATGTTAAAGGACAGGTCAGATGTTGTGATGGATTTCAAGAGTGGACATGTTTCAGCAGCACTGAAAATGTCCCTGAGTGTGGTTGTGGGAAATTGGGTCTTTGTTTCAGTGGAGATGGAAGCAGAACTTCTTCTTGAGTCTCTTCCAGATGTTTATCCAGGGCATTGGGTCAAGTTCAGTTAGATTCATATTGACTTTGTTGTATTGTGGCTCTCTCTGCCACATCTGTGTGTCAGTGAGGGGCATTAAATTAAAAGTGACCTTTAATATTTGAATGAAGCCGTCACTTTAGCAGATACAGTAGATGAAGCCAGCAATGCTACGTAATCCATGTCTGAAAAGGGCTTGTGGCTGCCACACTATCTGCCTTCACTGATTTATTTTGTACTTTGATGTGGGTGTTAAGTACAGTTTACAGGAATAGCCTGAAAGAATACCAAAGTCCTGTTGTCAGTGTATCTCAGACACAGTTAATCTCCCTATCAGATTTTATTGCGGACATTTTCTTTTCAGAAATGCTCCAGAAACCAAATGCTCTGAATCTCTATTGCATTTGTTTCCATCTGGGGAAACCGTTGGGTGAAGAATTATTCCCAGTCCTACCCACACCAGAGGCCTTTGCCATTATAGCCCTGAAATGGATGATTTAACATGATTACTGCTTTGACTTTTAAAATCTTATTGATAGATAGACTTGTGTCAAGGGATCATGCAGTCCCTTTTCACCAATAGTAGGCTAAATGGTTTTTTTTTTATGTAGAAGGTATGGTAGGGCAAAAATAAGTATAGGTTTGTTCCACTGAAAAAAGCCTTTTATTGGGCTGTAAAGCACATTTGGTGCCTTCTCCTAAGTATAATTGCTCTGAGGTGTTAAACTAATACATAATCATAAGCCCCTTCTGTATTTCAGTGCCAGTAAAGACATTACAGATGCCCAGAATTCTCCAAAATCAGCAATAATTTAGATTTCTATTCTGTTGTTGTTACTGTTTAGCTTCATGCCAACACTCCTGCTCCATCCAGATGTGCTTAGTTGCAAATCCTGTAATTGCCACATGGGTTTTTTGCCCACTACTTTATTTTATTTGGAAAAGCAAATGCATCTGGTAATCCTTGCATGGTCATCGTGCAGTCTTTTTTTTTTTTTTTCTTTGATGGTGTCATCAATCTGTTAAATCGGTTGTATTTCATAGCTGGATAAACAGTACTGCAGGATTGCGTTCATTTAAATCCTTTGTCCATAATATTATAACCAGGAAATGTTTCCAATTTAGCCTATAATGTGAACCTAAATATTATATTCAAGGAAACAGCTGTGTGGGTCACTTTTTCAACGTCTGAAGTAAACAAATCATCATGGGTTGATTCAATGAGAGGTTATCATCAATTTACAGCCCTAATTTCCATAAGAATGATTGTGTAATTCACCCGTGTAATAGATCTTTTAACCGGTAGATATTTGCTTTATAAGAAAGGACAAATTAAGCCATGGACAGCTCTGTATGGTGCTGAAGAGGAAATTAGGTCTTTTCTTTTCATTTAACAATTGAGTGGACAACTCATTTACAGAAGTAATGTTTACAAATGCTAGTTGATAAACATGGGCAATAACTTAATATACTGTCTGTGCACTAGCAAACTTAGTAACATTACGGCTCCTTGTGACTTCACAAACATGCATTCCTCCTGTTAATATAGATAGATGAGTGTTTGCACTTCCTTACTACTCTTGAATACAGGCATTAGCCAACAATGGTGGACACTGGCCCAGGCCCAGCTTGCCACAATCTCAAAGTCAGCTCTCCCTCTTCCACCTTCTCTTCTTACATGGAGAAACACCATATGCAGAGCTGCTGTGTTTATATCAAAGCTGCACAACTTCATCACATTTTACATTAATTTACATAATTTGGAACTGAACGGTCTCACAGTGACAGTAGATAATATCTTTCCACTGTGTCTGCAGCCAGTCTGATTAAAAAAAAGACGCTAGCTTTCTGAGCAATGTTGTTTGTGTGTTAGAGAGATGTAAAAGAGGTGTGGGTTAATGGGGGATTGTGGTTGCATGTGTGCTCATGCACGGAGCAACAGTTGACGTCTGGACTTGACAGATCCTGAAGCATCAAACTAGCTTTAGTGCATGCATGCGAGGACAATCGCCCTTGTTTCAGTATTGACAGACGCAGCCACTCAGAATTGCGCACACCAGTTGAATGGCCTTCAGCTGGTGTGCAGCTGCCATGTGGTTACCGTCAGCCTTCCATTAGCCCCCTTCTCCTATGGCATGTCTAGATTCCACAGTAAACACACCCATTAAATAGTTGTTCCTTGATTTGCAAAGTGTTACCATTAGATGCTTTGTTCTCAAAAATACAAACCAAACTATATATATGGCAGCATAAATCTTGTTTTAATGAGAAACCTTTCTCACTCAACTAACAAGATACTTTGCTTATTTTTACAAGCTACTTTCATGTTAAAACATTTTTCACATTATTAAGACACTGTATTTTCTCATTTTAACAACATACTGTAGGCTATGTTGTCAGTATAGCAATATATTGTACAGTAAAACCTTGGATTACGAGTATAATTTGTTCCAGCAACATGCTTGTAATCCAAAGCACTCGTATTTCAACGCGGATTTCCCGATAAGAAATAATGGAAACTCAGATGATTCATTCCACAACCAGTTATTCATACAAAAATGATTACAGTAATAGAAAATATTGTATATAAATTAAAACAAATAAAACAAATTAACCTGCGCTTTACCTTTGAAAAGAATTGTGGCTGGCGTGAGGGAGATGTGAGAGAGGAGCTATCTGCTATCTGTTGGCTCACTGAAATCTTTTTTTTGTGTGCGACTTTAACCAAGAACCTATCCAATGGCACTTGCTTTTGCCATCTTTTGAGGATTTGGCGGATTTTACACATCTCCCTTATAAAATCTTGAGATGTCGGCCACTTCCATACCTGATTCATGCTTCTCGATGATTTCTTTTTTTAACTTCCACTGTAATCATCTCCTTTTTCTTACCACCGTTCTTTTCAACCCTTTTTTTTTTTTTTTTTACTTCATCCAGGCCATTGCAGTACAGATGTTGACTTTACGAGTGACCACTAAAAGTGTTGCCTCTCCTGCTGCCTTGTCCACCTCTGACGTTTCCCCCTTTACCTCGATGACTCTACGAGTGACTTTACGAGTGAGGTGCGAGAACCACCAGTTGTGACGTGACGCTTGGCAGACAAAGTGTACGTACTATTCGTTTTGCAAGACCTCGCATGTTTATCAAGTTAAATTTATAAAGAAAAAAAATTGCTTGTCTTGCAAAACACTCACAGACCAGGTTACTCACAATCCAAGGTTTTACTGTATTTTCTTGTAATAATATGACCCCTTCACAGCTTGGAGATGTAGGGAGGGACAAAAAAACACAACTGCCTGCCAGAGGCTGGAGATAAATCATTTGTATTAAAAAGAAGTGGTCATGGCAATTCACACCTCGCACATTCGAAGCCATCTCGATGGTTATTTTACCATATTCCCTCCCCCCTGCTCCTACACCCATCTGTAGACTTGTAGAGTTGCTTGTTTTGGGGAATTCACTGTGACA